TATGTGCTCACTTCATGTCTCTGTGCCACACATTTTTGTAATTCTAGCAATATTTCAAACTAATTATTATTACACTTGTTATGGTGATCTGTGATCAGTGATCTTTATATTATTATAACTGTTTTGGGACACCACAAACCACACCAACATAAAAGTACAAATTTAATCAGTAAATACTGTGTGCGTCCTGACTGTTCCACCAACCAAATATTCCAACTCTCTCCCTCTCCTCTGGCCTTCTTATTCCCTGAGAAATGACAATACTCAAACTAAGTCAATTAATAACCCTACAGTGACTTTATATTCAAGTGAAAATAAGAGTTGCATGCATCTCACTTTAAATCAAAGGCTAGAAATGAGTAAGCTTAGTAAGGAAGACGTGTCAAAAGCCAAGATAGGCTGGAAGCTAGGCCTCTTTTGCTAGCTAGCCAAGTTGTGAACACAAGGGAAAAGACCTTGAAAGAAATTAAAAGTGCTACTCCAGTGAACACACAAATAATTCAAAAAAAAAAAAAAAAAGCAAAACAGCCTTATTTCTGATATGGAGAAAGTTTGAGTGATCTGGATAGAAGGGCAAACCAGTCACAACATTCCCTTAAGCCAAAGTTTAATCCAGAGCAACACCCTAACTCTCATCAATTCTATGAAGTCTGAGAGAGGTAAGGACCCTGCAAAAGAAGAGTTTGAAGCTAGCAACTTGACTCCTAAGATTTAGGGAAGGAAGACATCTCTATAACAAAAAAGGAAGGTGAAAGAGCAGGTGCTGATGTAGAAGCTGCAGGAAGTTATCTAGAAAATCTAGCTAAGACACCTGCTGAAGAAGACTGCACTAAACGACAGATTTTCAGGATAAATGAAATTTCAGTATAGATGAAATAGCCTTACACTGGAAGAAGATACCATCTAAGACTTTCATAGCTAAAGAGGGGAAGCCAGTTCTTGGCTTCAAAGCTTTAAAGGACAGGTTGACTCTCTTGTTAGGGCCTAATGCAGCTTGTAACTTTATGTGGAAGCCAATGTTCACTGATTATTCTGAAAATTTTAGGGTCTTCAAGAATTATGCGAAGTCTGGAGCCAGTTGGTGTAGCACACCTATCGTTGGGAGTCTGAGGTGAGAAGATTGCCTGAACCCAGGAGTTTGAGTCCAGCCTGGACGTTACAGCAAGACTCCCATCTCCAGAAACAAACGTATATGCTAAACTACCCTGCCTGTGTTCTGTAAGTGGAGGAACAAAGCCTAGATGACAGCACATTTGTTCAGAGCACAGTTTACTATTTTAAGCCCATTGTTTAGATCTCTTGATAAAACATTTTCAGAGTATTACTGCTCACTGACAATGTACCTAGTCACCCAAGAGCTTTGATGGAGATGAACAAGAACATTAATGTTGTTTTCATGCCTACTAACACAGTATCCATACTGCAGCTCATGAGTTAAGGAATAATTTTCAATTTCAAGTCATATTACTTGAAAATACATTTTATAAAGTTATAACTGCCATAAGTAGTGATTTCTGTGAAGGATCTGGGTAACTTGAAAACCTTCCAAAAAAGATTCATCATTCTAGATCCCATTAGGTACATTCATGATTTATTGGAGAAGCTCAAGATAGCAACATGAACAGGAGTTTAGAAGAAGTTAATTCCAACCCTCCTGGATCACTTGGAGGAGCTGAAGACCTCAGTGGAAGACGTCATTGCAGGTGTGGTACAAATAGCAAGAGACCTGAACTAGAACTGGAGCTTGAAGATGGGACTGAATTGCTGCTGTAATTTCATGATAAAACCATAATTGATGAGGAGCTGCTTCTTATGAATGAGCAAAGAAAGTGGTTTCTTAAGACAGAATCTACTCCTTAGTGAAGATGCTATGAACATTGTTGAAATGACAACAACATAGTTGGAATATTACACAAACTTAGTTGATAAAGCAGTGGCAGGATTTGAAAGGATTCACTCCAATTTCAGAAGAAGGTCTACCGTGGATAAATTGCTATCAAATAGCATCACATGGTACAACGACATATTTTATGAAAGGAAAGGTCAACAGATCAGCAAGCTTCATTATTTTATTTGAAGAAATTGTCACAGCCATCCCAATGTTCAGCAATCACCCTGATCAGTCAAAAGCCTGATCAGTCAACTGTCATCAGCATGATGAGGACCCTCCACCAGCAAAAGGATTACAACTCATTGAAGGCTCAAATGATCATTTGCATTTTTTAGCAATAAAGTATTTTTAATTAAGGTATGTACTTTAAGACATAATGCTATTTCACACTTAATAGAGTATAAACATAATTTTTATGTGCACTGGAAAATCAAAAAATGTATGTGAGACTCACTTTATTGAAATATTTATTCACTTTATTGCAGTGGTCTGGAATATAACCTCAGTATCTCCAAGGTATGCCTGTACATTAAACTATGCATTGAGTACAATGTTTCTGATCCTGCCTCTCAACCATTTGCAGTTCTTAAAAAATGGAATAAAGAAGATAAAACAACTTCCAGTTTGCAGATGGGAATACCTTTTGCAAAGGTTTTCCTTGCCTCAAAAGCTAAAAATCATCAGCATAATAACCATCCAGATAGTGCGATTTAATACAAAGGTATCATGAATTTAGAAAATTGTGAACTAATACCATACTTTATATAGTATTAGAGTTGCTTCTCATGGAGGCATGGCTTAGAAATTCTAAAACCACCTAATGTTTATACTGAGGTTGAACAAAATAAGTAAATATATTGAAGACAATGAGAATGAAGTTTCTCATGCTTGGGAAAGAAATTACAAGTAAGGAAATAGAAATGGCACCCTAATACCAAGAAGCACACCTACGGCTCAAACCTTGGAGGTTGATTCTAAGGCTGGGGCAATGAAAATACAAGATGAGTCTGGAATATCTTGTAATTCTGGAAAACAAAAGCTGGAGACATGCAGAAAGGGCGGGCACAGGAGCCTACCTGAAGAAGCTCACAACCGCCAAAAGTGAAGCAATTTGAGCAACAAAATCAATAATGACAACAGTGTATCATAACCCATGACATAATGTAAATAAATATTCCTGAATTTATGCTTTCATAAATAAATGAGTAAATAGAGAAGAGACAGTTTTTAAATTCCAATTAAGAAATGTAGGAAAATGACATAAATATGAAATCACCTCTTAAAACGCCACAAATTGTTTCAGGCAAGATCTATGGCTGGCTCCTGTGTCCCAGAGCTCAACCTACCTGCATCCATCAGTGAAAGTGAAGCGACGTCGCTTGTCTGTGGTAATATCTGAGGTTCGGTGCCTCCCACCAAAGAAATCAAGGACACAGACACCCAAAATATGAGGTTAAGAGCGGAAGCTAAACTGGCAAAAGAAAGCGTAAACCTCTCCCTCCTGCAGAGAGACAGGAGCTTCTGGTCCTGGGCGAAGTGCTGGAGTTTTTACAGATGAGCTTGAGGAGGCAGGTGTCTGATTAACAGGGCACGAGAGATTGTTTGGACCAGGTGTGCTGTTTGCAAAGCATCATCCAAAGCAGCTGGCCGCCGCACCCTACTCTTTTATTATGTAGATTGCTTCTTTACCTGCCTAGCACCACGTTGCCTGCTTCTTTATCTTTTTCTTTTTCTTTTTTTTTCTTTTTTTTTTATTGCATTTTAGGTTTTGGGGTACATGTGCAGAACGTGCAAAATAGTTGCATAGGTATACACATGTCAGTGTGTTTTGCTGCCTTCCTGCCCTTCACCCACATTTGACATTTCTCCCCAGGCTATCCCTCCCCAGCTCCCCCTGCCCCCGTTGTCCCTCCCTATTCCCCCCAATAGACCCCGATGTGTAGTACTCCCTTCCCTGTGTCCATGTGTTCTCATTTTTCCTCACCTGCCTGTGAGTGAGAATATGTGGTATTTCATTTTCTGTTCTTGTGTCAGTTTGCTGAGGATGATGTTCTCCAGATTCGACCATGTCCCTACAAAGGACGCGAACTCATCATTTTTGATTGCTGCATAGTATTCCATGGTGTATATGTGCCACATTTTCCCAGTCCAGTCTATCATCAATGGGCATCTTTTTCTTTTCTTTTTTTCAGACGAAATTTCTCTCTTCTTGTCCAGGCTGGAGTGCAATGGCATAATCTCAGCTCACTGCAACTTCCGCCTCCAGGGTTCAAGTGATTCTCCTGCCTCAGCCTCCCAAGTAGCTGGGATTACAGGCATGTGTCAACACTCCCGGCTAATTTTGTATTTTTAGTAGAGACGGGGTTTCTCCATGTTGGTCAGGCTGGTCTCGAACTTCTGACCTATGGTGATCAGCCCGCCTCGACCTCCCAAAATGCTGAGATTACAGGCACGAGCCACCACGCCTGTTCAATGTTGCCTACTTCTTTACTGCACACAGGGCAACAAAAAAAAGGAAAGATGGAGCCTCCATGCTGAACTGACTTCCAGGTGTCCCTTTTCTATTAGCACAGCTGCCCCATATACCTTATGCAAGCTTTCAGCTTGCTTATCTATGTTTGCAGCTTGATTTTTCAGGCTGCTTCTTGTTAGAAAAGAAATGATTGGGGGCTGCTTTTTATTAGAAGGAAATTCCACGGAGAACTCTCTTACCTTCACTATCTGCCTAAATAATTTTTTAGCTTCTGTATCAAAAGTACTAATGTTACCTTCTTTATCACAAGTATTTTAGTCAACCTTGGTAGAAAACGTATTAAGAAATGACACCTCCCCGGCATGGAGCCGTTTCTTACCGGACTGGTCACCCAGGCTGAGATTGTACAGTCAGAAAATGAGTAACTTTTTATCAAGCTGCATATTCAGTTTCCAAGAGAAAAAAAGTTGGCACCTATTTTTCCAGTTCCACTATGCCTGTTCTGGTCATGATAATAATCGTGCTTTACATTTCTATAGTGTTTTTGCTTTATAACTTTCATTCACATACTGTGCCTGAGCTAACCCCCAAACCACCCTTTGAGATTAGTTTATAAATCAGTCAACAAATACTTACTGAGAGCCTGCCGCATGTGAAGACCTCAGAGTGAAACAGTGAGCAAGACCAACGTGATCTTTTCACTCCTAGAGTTGATATTAAAGGGGGAAGATAAATAGAAAAAGTAAACACATAAAATTAAGTACAAAGTATGGAGTTATAGAGAAAAGGAAACACGAATACTATCAAATTTTTAAAAATCAAGCATAATGTGAGAAGACCCACTTTAGAGAGGTGTGAATGGAAGCCTGACTTAGGAAGTGGTATTTGATGAGAAGCAGGCAGCCTTGCAAAGCTTGGGGTAGCACCTCCCATCAGAGCAATCAGCAAGTGCGAGGGCGATGTGTCCGGGAGTGGGTGGTGGCAGCGAAGAGTGAAAACAGCTTGGTACATTCTGGAAACTATCAGAAGGCATGTTCTTCTGGAGAATTGAGGAGGAGGGAGATGGGAGCCTGAAATGAGGGCACAGAGGAAAGTAGAAGTTGCTAGCAGCCTATGGATGAAGAGTTTTACTCTGGTGCAATGGGACGAGATACTGTTGTCTTACAGGTGAGTAAACTTAAAATCAGAGAGGTTATATGATTTCTCAAGGTTCTTACATCTGGCAAATTATATCTCTGTCTCAAGCCTTTCCATCCCCTCCTTCTTTCCACAAATATGTATGAAGAACATGTTAAATGCCAAGCATATTACTACTTGCTAGATAAGATACAACTTTAATCTCAACTAGATTAAGTCTAGAGGTGAAGAATGATTGTGTGAACAAATACAACAAAAAGTGACAAACATAGGGCTGGGCATGGTGGCTCTTATCTGCAATCCAAGTGATTTTGGAGGCCACAGCTGGAGGATCTCTTGAGACCAGAAGTTTGATCAAGACCAGCCTGGGCAACATAGTGAGAGACTCCATCTCTACAAAATATTTAAAAATTAGTCCATGGTGGTACATGCCTGTGGTCCCAGCTACCTAGGAGGCTGAGACAGAAGGATTGCTTGACTGCAGGAGGCAAATAGAGGCTGCAGTCGACTATGATCACGCCACTGCATACCAGCCTGGACAACAGAGTGAGACCCTGTCTGTTAAAATAAATGACAAATTCTATATCCAAAAATTTCTACAGAATATAGCAGAGACCAAAGAAAGGAGAAGCCAGTTCTGTGTGGGTAAGACCAGTAGGGTCAGAGATTTAGCATTGAGCTCAATCTAGAAGATGAAGGGGAAGGAAAGGAAAATAGGGAAGGATAATCAAAGCAGATTGAGTAAAGATGTAGACAATAAAACAGCCTGGGTGGCTTCTGGGAATAGTGCATTGCTTCAAGCATAGGGTGAGGGTGTGGAGACAGAAAGTGAGGTTGAAAAAAGAAAAATGCCCAAAGGCCAGATCGTGGGCCCCTGATATGGCAAAATAAAAAGTCTGGACTTCATTCTCCAAGCAGTGGAAGCCAGTAACAGCTTTCAAGCAGGGAGTGACGTGATTGGATTGGTTTCAGATAGATCACATCAACAGAACCATAGAGTTGAATTGTGATGGTGCCAAGCAGTCGTGGCGGAAGCAAGAAGAGCAGTTAGATGACTTTCAAGGTCCATGCAAGCAAGAAGAAATAGAGGCCTGAAGTAAGACTCCGGGTGTGCATTGGAGAGAGGACAGATCGGAAGAAGGTGCAGAACTTAGAATACTGGATATTTCAGGAGAGGGCGATAAGGAATTCAGGGTGATTTCTGGGTTTCTTTTGACTCTCAGTTCAATACTTCTAATGTGAAAAGTTTTTCTGCCGTATATAAAAGAACATCCTTTGTTTGTTGCAAACGGTTTAACATTTCTTAATTGCCAGCTAAGAAAAACTCACCCGAGTTTATAAACATTTTAAAGAGAATATTATACACTTCACTCTGACAAACTATTATTTTAGAAGAAAATGAAACTTTTTTTACCTAAAATAATCAGCATAATGTCCTCTACTGAGAGGGACAACGAATTTCCACATTGCCACCAGCAAGACTGATATCTAAACAGAAAAAGAAGGTAGATTTTAACAAACTGAATTTTCCTGCAGTTTAAGTTTCTATCAAAGTAGAGATATTAGTACTCTATTTAAAAAAATATTTCTGTCTCTGGGATCCTTGGAAAATGTGAAATAATAATTCTTTTTATGTTCAGATCTGTCTTGACATGCTCTGCTACCATCATAAACACAGCACACAGAAGTTCAATTTCTATTCTCAGTTGCTTAAGAAATAACGTCAGATTCAAGTCTGAGAACTGACTTGAAAGATATGATATTAATATTTCTTACATGGTGACTGAAAAGCAAAACATTTTAGAATTATATTTAAAGATCTTTCAAAATAGCTTGGCTGTAGAAGACAAACCTCCATGACATCCGTACAGTAATTATTCCAAGGGCTTATAGAGGTCAGCTTCCATACACATTCTACCATCTTCATGTCTCCCCCTTCTTGTCTTTATTTTATCATTCTTATTCTTTCATAGAGGCGGAGAAAACCCTTCACCATGCTTACGGGGAGAAATGGTCTGAGATTTTGATTAGCTTAATGGTTTACATAGAATGTACTATGTGCAGAAAACTATCAAAGAAAATGAATTAGGTCTTTGAATTTTCTTGATGAAAGCATCTCCACTGATGGCCATCTGGGAGAACTGTGCCAGCTTCTTTAAATATTCAAGATATATGTTATTATCACCATGGTAAAGATGAGAAAATGGAAAGTTAGAGAAGCTTAGTAACTCACTGGACATCACACAGCCACTAAGTGATTGAATTGGGATTCAAGGCCCCATCTGTGACTCTAAAGCTGAGGAAATATGTAAGTAGTAATTCTTAATTCTAGTAAACCTCCTAACACTGGCCATTTTGGGGAAAACTTACAAATGTCCTGTAGATATTTTTTCTAATTTACATTTTCTTTTCATAAATGTGGAAAGTAATTTTGATTTATATGCGTGTATCCTTAATTGGCTGTCTTGCTTATTTATTTCAGAATGCAAAGTTACAATTATTAAACTTCTGGGTGTTTTCACAAATTGGCAAAGGCAACAGAAATAATGGACATAACATGCTTCTCCCAATAGCCTGTAATTAATGGAAAAGGCTCTCATAGCCACAGTTAACTCAGCCGTAAACTCATATTCTTCCCATTTAGCTCCAGAAGCAAATTTCTGGGTAAACAAATGAGTTAATTTGCTCTCTGTGCTAAAGTGGACGGAAGAGAGGCAATTCTCTATTGAGTAAACCGTGTTGGAGTTTGTTAATGACAACGTTGAAGTAGCCTAACATTATGGTCTCATATGATAGATTTCAGTGTTCTAAATCTAAATTGCAGAGTACTAACAATCAACCGCGTAAGGAGAAAGAGGCTGTCAACAGAAAGAATGAAGGTAGGAAGGAGATGGGTGGCATATTCTAAAAACAGATTTTAATGTAATCAGTTATTTTCCAGAGATATGGGTTACTCAGACTAGATGAGTAATTTCCCTGCTTCCTACCTCTGTAGACTTATTTTATGTATGTCATCAAAGTTATAGGCTATAGGATGTTATAGGAATCTTGTCTGTATTATAGAAGTTACAGGATGCTTTTAGATGTTATAACAAGTTATGAGATGGTATAGAAAGTCATAGAATGGGTCAAGAGTTAGAAGAATTGAATTTAAATGGATGGAATATAAGACTCAGAGTGGTAGATATATTCTCACCAGTGGAAATACCAGGACAACATCTGGGGATCTCTCAGAAATGGACATGGTATTAATTTCCTATTCTGCTGCAACAAATTTTCATAAACTTAGTGCCTTGAAGCAATACAAACATATTATCTAACACAAGATTGTCCAAACTCTTGGCTTCCCTGGGCTACAAGGGAAGAAGAATTGTCTTGGGTCACACATAATACATACTAATGCTAGTGAAAGCTAATGAGCAAAAAAAAAAAAAAAATTATTAAGAAAAATCTCATAATGTTTTAGCAACATTTATGAATTTGTGTTGGGCTACATTCGAAGCCATACTGAACCACATGCGGCCGGCACCACAGGTTGGACAAGCTTAATCTAACAGTTTCTAAAGGTCAAAAATCTGGGTGGATGGGCTAGATACTCTGCTTAGGGTCTCATGATGCCAAATTCAAGGTCTTGGTAGGGCTGTGTTTCTTACTTCAGGTGCTGGGGAGAGTCTGTCTCCAAGCTCGTTTAGGTTGTTGGGCAAATTCAGTTTCTTGCTGTTGTGAAACTAAGGCCCCCGTCCTTGCTACTGTAAGCCAGGAGGCAGTTCCTGCTCCTACAGTTGACCTCATTCTTTTTTTTTTTTTAAATAAATGTCATGTGTCCAGTGCAGTTTTGATACATGGATATATTACACAGTGGTGAACTCTGGACGTGCATCCTTTCTTATGCTTTTCATGTGCCTCCCACCCCCGCCCTTCAGCAATGGCAGTGGATTCCCTTTCCTGCTTTAAACTTGTCTGAATTCTGCCACATCTCTTTAACTTCAACAAGTTCTCCAGAAAGATCTCCACTTTTCAAGGTTCACATATTTTGACTGGGCCCACACAGATAATCCAGGATAACCTCCCTGTCTTAAAGTCTTAATCTTAATTACATCTGCAAAGTCCCTTTTGGAAAATAACAGCAGCATGCCACCAGAAGACAAAGTTCCTAAGTTCATGGGCCCCTAAATCCTGCCTCACACCAGTACAGTTGTTTCCCAGAGAACCTGGCCCACAGATACTTTATTAAAGAATACGCCAGCTAAAACCACCAGGCTATCTTCCAAACATTGTGTGAAGATAACCCTATGCAGAAGTGCCTTTCTGTTTAGAAAGGGACAAAATCAGCTAGGTGTGGTGGCTCACGCCTGTAATCCCAGCACTTTGGGATGCCAAGGTGGGTGGATCACCTGAGGTTAGGAGTTTGAGATCAGCCTGGCCAACATGGAGAAACTCCGTCTCTACCAAAAATATAAAAATTAGCTCAGCGTGGTAGCGGACGCCTGTAATCCCAGCTACTCCAGAGGGGGAGGCAGGAGAATCACTTAAACCCAAGAGGTGGAGATTGCAGTGAGTCGAGATTGTGTCACTGCCTGGGAGACAAGAACAAAACTCTATCTCCAAAAAAAAAAAAAAAAAAGGAACAAAATCAACTGGGTTTACATGAAACTTTTTTGATCTCTGACAGACACAGAGTACTTTAAAATAATGTACAAGTCAACAGAAAACAGATCTTACTATTTTTTTCACTCTCATCAGAAAACATTGGGGATAGGTTTAATAATGATAATAGCTATCCTTTTTTTGTTTGTACCAGATAGTACATAGTCTTTAATATAGGTTGTTGTGACTATATCCTATATATATATATGACTATATAAACTGAACTTACACATGTGCACGATGTGGTGGAATAAGATTGTGCATGACATGGCTCATTGCTGTGACAGAATTGTTGAGTAGTGCAATCACCAACCGTTGTTAGAAATCTCAAATCTGCTTTGACATCACAGTCTGCAAATTATAGTCTATCAGCAGACACAGCTCACTGGTCTCTGCTCATTCATTTTCTTATGCAATGAAATCATTTCCCAGCAAGTACACAATTGCATAAGAGTCAGCTCATAGTGAGAACCGTCCAACACAGTACTTAAACTCCAAGGGATTGTACAAATAAACCCAGAAGCTTTTTAATTCTTTGAGTTGATATTTAAAGGACCAAGGTGTTTAAAAATTGATAAGTATAGAAATTCTTTATTTCTAAGAGTATTTAACATGGATCTTAATGATAGTGATTTGTATTTTAGTCATAATTTTAAAATGTATTTTTTTCCTCTGGAAATAAATTTGCAGCAAATTGAGTTAAAGCCAGTTGTCACTACAAGAGCTCAGGTAGTATGTCCTATGTTCTATTAAGAAGCTACCACAAAATTTTGGAATAGCCGTTGTTCTCAAGGTAATTTTCTACCTTTTTTTAAACTAAAGTATTAGAGAATGGAAAACAGTAGCAAAAATAACTCATTGTGCATCTTTCTATAATTTTTATTCTGTTCTTTGTGATCGACAACTGTTGTTGGAGAATAATACTGAATTTTAGAATGATTCTGAATATCAATAATTTATATTAATATCCTCCAAAACATTTCCCTGTGCTACCTTGTTTCTTAAAAATAAAATAATCGATTATAAGATTTAGATTTGATATTAATGTAGCTTTAATTCTGATTAAAATTAGGACAAAATTGGGGTTTTCTGATTTTTTAGCTCCAGTTATAAATATGAGACTACATATTTACTCATAAATCTAGATTTAAATATTAAATAAAGCATATTATTTTATATCAAAAAATAAAAGTTTTAATCACTTTAAATTTAAGTCACTTCACTATCTGAGTAGAAAATGAATTCAGCAAAGATACTATCAGCTTTTATATAAGATCTGCCAAATGGAAGCTCTAATGGAAAACTGTGACCTTTAACATAGTTTAACATCTACAGTGAAATCTTATTTTCATTCTCTGTTCTACATATTATTTCATGCATTGCCAGCCTCAGAAATTTTCAATGACAATAATTTCATTGAAAGCATCTTAATATAACTTATATTCAAATTCATCAAAAGTCATGTATCACTTGTACAGCCTCTTTCTTGACATTATTTTCAAAATATTACTTGCATCCAATCCTTTTCTGCACATACTCAAATTCATACTAGGGCTGTTATGGAAATAGCTAATTTACATTTAGATTAAAAATTACCTTGAAGCCCATTTACACCCTGATGAGTTAAAGACAAAGTAACTCAAAGTTGATAGCTGGCTTTCATTAAATCCAAGTATTATGACATATTCGACTAGTCAAACACAGGCCTCTCAGGTTCATGGCTTAGATCCTAAAATGTCAAATAGGGTGATTGCAGCTCAGCAGACATAGCCAAATGCTAAATTCAGATATACTCAACGTTACTACAGATCTTGAGGCACTATCCTTTAGGTTGACTCACTTGTTTGCTTATTCTTTGTTTCATCCAATACTCATTAGAAAATAGTTGTCTAAAACCAAATCAGTTAGCAGGCCATTTGCAATCTAGCCTATTTTAATTAGACTTGAGGAAAGAATTTTCTTTCAAAGTGACCAAGAAGATTGAAGTTTAACTAGCTGCTTAGTTTGGTAGCTCTAGTCTGCCTGCCTGCCTGCCAGTCTATCTACTAAACATCAAGAAGCATTAGATAATTGGTGCCTAGTTGGAAAGGTTTTTTTAAACACTTACAGTAAGTAGAAGTCCATTCATAGTGAACATGTCATTCAGTTTGTCTGCCATGCCCAACTTTTTTTTAAACTTCCCTACCCATGACCCCTACTCAAAGGTGAAGGGCTAAGAGGCAGGATTAGAACTATGTGACCCTGCCCCCATCCTGGCCACAGGCATTAACAAATATGAACAGCTCTTCATATGTCTGTCCATCTGTTTGACTATTGGATTCTCTGTCTTGAGAATTTGAACTTCTATCTACATAGATTGTGTCAGGAAAAGCTGAAAAGACCTGTAGAGCTGAAGCAAGCCACACTGATAAGCAAAGTTATGGATCAGCAGATTAAACCATGTAGTAAAGATGATAAAGAATATGACTTTCAGGAAATGACAGAGTTGAAAGAACATGTCGGACAAAGGAAACAGTAAAGGAGAAATAAAGGCAGAGGGAGACAGAAAGGCCCACAGAGAGATTCAGAGAATGATGACATCAGAGACAGAGAACTTGTGAGTTCCCAGTGGCATTCCAGCTCCTGAGCCACTTCTCATGAAGCTTGGCCTTATTTCCTACCCTCAGTTTGATGGTATGACCTTAGCTGTTCTCCACGTACCTCTTTTTCACCTCAACTGGGGTGAATGGCTGTTCCTTTTAAGCAAACTGATTAAAACACCATGTTCAAGGATGCCTTCGAAATCATAGATCAACTGCTTTATATCTAGATTTAAGAGAAGAAAAGAACAAAAACAATGTGTTTTGTAAAAGGGGAACAATTTCTGGAAATCTTGATATGGAAAGAGTCTCTAACCTAACACCCAACATAATGTGCTCTTAAAAAAAAGAAAAGAAACACTCTATATCTGCTTTCCTTTTGTGAAAAAAACTACATCCCTAATAGTTTTCACCCTTTAAAATTTCTAAAGAACCCAAGGTAAAGTGACATGTTAGTATTCTAAAAGATGAAAAGGACTTAAAGACAGATGGTTTTGAAATTGGTTCTGTTCTCAGCATTTCACTTTGATATTTATTTAAAAGACATTTCAGCCTACTTCTGCATTCATCTTATTCCATATCTAACCACGCTTTTCTACCCAATTCACAGGTTGATGATCCTGACACTTCCTGTCTCTCTGTCTCCAGTTCTCTTCTTTATGAACTCTACCACAGAGAATACTTCCCTTTTTCCTTATATAAACAAAGACAAGCTCCCAGTTTCCAGAAGTACAGGCAACACTGCAAAAGACATTGCAGCATATCTGGACAACTGAAATGGGAAAAGTTCCCTTGTCCCCTTCACAGGGTGTGAGATGGGGGTGTGGCTTGCTCCTTCATTGTCCTGCTGCTCAGACTTTCAGGGGAGCATACAGACAGGCAGGCTGTGGGGCCCCAACCCCACGGCAGTGTCTAGGAGTGAATGTTTACAGCTGAAGCTCCAGTGGGCATGTGTTACAGGGTGCTCTTTTAGTTTAGCTGTCTATAGGTGGCTTGTGTTAGTCAGCTCAATTAGACCCCCACGTTATTGCAAGGACAGAGGGCTTTCTGTATCCCAGCGTTCTTGCCTTGGTGTACCGGAAGAATTGGATCACATGTGGGCTTTGAGAATGAGTGCAAGGTTTAATTGAGTGGAAGTAGCACTTAGTAGGTGGGAGAGCCAGAAGGGAGATGGTTTTCCCCTGGAGTTTGGCTGCTCAGTGGCCCGGGCTCTCCTCCAACTGCCCCAGCCAAACTCTGCCTCATTCCACTGGTTGGTGGTCTGTTGGCGTGCTGGTGTCTGTCAGGTGATTTTCCACCAGCATGCTCCCCCTCTATATCCTGTCAATATCCAGCCACTTGTGTCTTCTTCCACCAATGTGTTCCTCTCAACATCCAGCTGCTTGTGTGTCTGCCTGCTAGGGTCTCGTGGGGTTTTTATAAGCACAGGATGGGGGCGTAGCAGGCTAGGGTGGTGATGGGAAATGCAACATTTGGGCATGAAGGCAGCAGTGCGTATCCTCACACAGGTCTAAGGGCACAGGCTCAGGGGTGAAGCCCTCGCCAGGGCCCCGCCCTGCTCCTCCCAGCACTTCCATGCTTCCCTTCCATATCACTACTGCCAGAGTGTAAGAAGTTAAACACCAACTAAGATAAAGACACTGTGGCTCCTTTCTGCAGAAGAACTTTGATAAATGTTTGTATTACAAATAAGAAGGTATTTATTTGAAGCTAAAATAGACCTAATTCTAAAATAAATAAAATCAAGCAAATATAACATAAATTTTAAATAAACACCTTTACTCAGCAATTCTACTTTTAGTCAAGACAAGTAAATTGCATGTCCATACAACTACTTGTACAAGAACACTTATAAAAGCTTTATTTATAATAGTACCATACTGAAGACAATCTAGAAGTGCATTTGTAACAGAATACATAAACAAATTGCAGTATATCCACATAGTGAATCTGTTCAGCAATAAAAAGGAATGAAGTACTGATATATGCAATAACATATATGAATATCCATAATGTTATGCTGAAATAAATAAACCAAACACAAAAGATTGCATACTATATGATTCCATTTATACGAAATTCTAGAAAAAAGAACTAATCTATAGTAACAGAAAGCAGACCAGTAGTTGACTGAGGCCAGGGATGGGGTAATGGGGAGATGACTAGAAAAAGGAATGAGGCAATTTCTTTGGGTCATGGAAAGGTCTTAACTGAGGTCGTGTTCACATAGTCTTAAACAGTTGCAGAATGTCATCAAAATGAAACTTTTAAGTGGTACACTTTACTGCATGTTAATTATACATTAAAGTAGACTCAAAAACAAAACCGTTATCATAAAATTGGGCCTTTCCCAATTGTTATCGCTATTAAGACATAATTGGGGCCAGGCATGGTAGCTCATGCCTGTAATCCCGACACTTTGGGAGTCCAAGGCAGGTGGATCACAAGGTCAGGAGTTCGAGACTAGCCTAGCCAATATTGTGAAACCCTGTCTCTAATAAATAAATAAACAAATTCAAAATTTAGCCAGGCATGGTGGCGTGAACCTATAGTCCCAGCAACTCAGGAGGTTGAGGCAGGAGAATTGCTTGAGCCTGGAAGGTGGAGGTTGCAGTGAGCCGAGATCATGCCACCCCACTCTGACCTGAGCAAGACTCTGTCTCAAAAAAAAAAAAGACATAATTGACTTTAAGTGATAATTGTTATTTACATAAATGTTCAAAATATTTTATTTAACATAGATTCTTCACGCAGACACATTAATTTTCTTGGTCATAATTTAATGAAATTTAGTAATACATAATATTTATATGTCAGAGTTGTACAGTCATGTGTTTAATAATGGGGCTGAAAAATGTGTTATTAGGTGGCTTCATCATTGTGTGAACATCATGGAGTGAACCTGAATAAACCTACAGGGTTTATGTAACTACATACTTAGGCTATAGCACAGCCTATTGCTCCTAGCCTACAAACCTGTAAGCATGTCACTGTACTGAATACTGTAGGCAGTCAAAATGGTGAAAAGTATTTGTGTATCTAGGCCTATTCAACATAGAAAATGTACGATAAAAGTACTGGTATAAAAGATGTAAAATGGTACATCTGTACAGGGCACTTACCATAAATTAAGCTTGGAGGACTGTAAGTTACTCTGAGTGAGTCACTGAGTGAGTGGTGAGTGAGTGTGAAGGCCTAAGACATTACTGCACACCACTGTACACTTAGGCTACACTAAATTTATAAAAAGCTATTTTCTTCCTTCAATAATTAATTAGTCTTAACTTGCTATAACATTTTCCCTTTATAAGCTTTTTAATTTTTTTAACTTTTTGACTCATTTATGATAGCACTTAGCTTAAAACACAAACACATTGTACAACTATACAAAAATATTTTCTTTACTTATAGCCTTATTCTATAAGCTTTCTTCTGTTTTTATTTATTTATTTTTTTTACTTGTTAACCATTACCCTGGCCCCACACAGGGTCAAGATCATCAGTGTCACCATCTTCCACCTCCACATCTTGTCCCACTGGAAGGTCTTCAATGCAGTAACACACATGGAGCTGTCACCTCCTATGATAACAATGCCTTCTTCTGTGGTGCTTTTTCTGAGGTATCTGTTTTGCTCCATTGATCTGTCTATCTGTTCTGGTACCAGTACCCTGCTGTTTTGGTTACTAGAGCCTTGTAGTATACTCTGAAGTCAGCATGATGCCTCCAGCTTTGCTCTTTTTGCTTAGGATTGTCTTGGCTATCTGGGGTCTTCTTTGATTCCATATGAAATTTAGTTTTTTTCTAATTCTGTGAATAAGAATTTCATCAAGGGTAGTTTGATGAAAATAGCATTGAATCTATAAAATACTTCGGGCAGTATAGCTATTTTCATGATGTTGATTCTATCCATGAGGATGGAATGTTTTTCCATTTGTTTGTGTCCCCTCTTATTTCCTTGAGCAGTGGTTTGTACTTCTTGAATAGCTCCTTCACATTCCTTGTTAGCTATATTCCTAGGTATTTTATTCTCTTTGTAACAATTGTGAATGGGAGTTCATTCATGATTTGGCTCTTTGTGTGTTTATTGTTGGTGTAAAGGAAAGCTTATAATTTTTGCACAATTGATTTTGTATCCTGAGACTTTGCTGAAGTTGCTTATCAGCTTAAGGAGTTTTGGGGCTGAGACGCTGGAGTTTTCTAAATATAGAATCATGCCATCTGCAAACAGAGACAATTTTACTTCCTCTGTTTCTATTTGAATACCCTTTATTTCTTTGTCTTGTCTGATTGCCCTGGCTAGAACTGCCAATACAATGTTGAATAGGAGTGGTGAGAGAGGGCATCCTTGTCTTGTACCAGTTTTCCAAGGGAATGCTTCCAGCTCTTTCCCATTTAATATGATATTGGCTGTGAGTTTGTCATAAATAGCTCTTATTATTTTGAGATACGTTCCATCAATGCCTAGTTTATTGAAAGTTTTTAGCATAACGGGATGTCGAATTTTATCAAAGGCCTTTCTCCATCTATTGACATAATTGTGTGATTTTTGTCATTGGTTCTGTTTATGTGATGGATTAGTTTATTGATTTGCATATGTTGAACCAGCCTTGCATCCCAGAGATGAAGCCAGCTTGATCATGGTGGGTCAGTTCTTTGATGTGCTGCTGGATTCAGTTTGCCAGTATTTCACTGAGGATCTTCACATCAATGTTCATCAGGAATATTGGCCGGAAGTTTTCATTGTTTGTTGTCTCTGCCAGGTTTTTTGTTATCAGGATGATGCTGGCTTCATAAAATGAATTAGGAAGGAGTCCCTCCTTTTCAATTGTTTGAAATAGTTTCAGAAGAAATGCTTCTCTTTGTACCTCTGGTACAATTTGGTTGTGAATCTGTGCCCATGGGCTGTTTTTTTGGTTGGTAGGCTATTAATTACTACTTCAATTTCAGAACTTGTCACTGGTCTATTCAGGAATTCAACTTCTTCCTGGTTTAGTCTTGGGAGGGTGTATGTGTCCAGGAATTTATCCATTTCTTCTAGACTTTCTAGTTTATTTGCATAGAAGTATTTATAGTGTTATCTGATGGTAGTTTGTATTTCTGTGGGGTCCAGTGGTGATATCCCCTTTATCACTTTTTATTGTGTCTATTTGATTCTTCTATCTTTTCTTCTTTATTAGTCTGGCTAGCACTCTATATGTTTTGTTAATATTTTAAAGAAAACAGGT